TATAACTACTGTTGGATGGATCTTGGCAGAAAGAGGTACCCAAGGAATGTCTTATCTGTGTTTCATTGAAAATGCAAAGGCTTTTGGCTGTGTGGATCACAACAAACTGTGACTGACTCTGAGGAGAATGGGAATCCCAGAACATTTGATTGTGCTTATGCAAACCTATACTTGAACCAAGGGGTAGTTGTCAGAACAGAGGAAGGAGACACTACATGGTTCGGAATCGGGAAGGGTGTCTTCCAGGAATGTATTCTTTCTCCATACCTTTTCAATCTGTATGCAGAACAGATCTTTTGGGATGCTGGCCTGTACAAGGAGGAATGTGTCATCAGAATTGGAGGAAGATTCAACAACCTGCATCGTACAGATGACACAACCCTGCTTGCTGAAACTGAGGAGGACCTGAAGCACTTGCTGTAGAAGGTCAAGGACTGTAGTCTTTAATATGGTTTGAAGCTGAACATCAAGAAAACAGATTCTCACCACAGGGCCAATTATTAGTATCATTATGGATTGTGAGGAGATTGAGATTTTTAACAGTTTTAGTTTGTTTGGCTCCTTAATCAATGTTCTTGGTACCAGCAGCCAGGAAATCAAGAGATAAATTGCATAGGGAAAGTCATCTGTCAGGGACCTCTCCGGAATACTTAAGAGCAATGACATCATGCTGGAAACTAAGTTGTACCTGATCCAGGCCATAGTCTTCACAGTTGTGTGTTACGTGTTGGAGAGCTGACCAATGACTAGAAAAACAATTGATGCCTGTGGTGCTGGAAAGGAGTGTTAAATATACCATGGACTGCTAGAAGAACAAACAGATTTGACCTGACGATGATGAAACCAGGCTGCTCCTTGTAGCAAGGATTCTGAAGCTTTATCTGATGTACTTTGGGCTTGTTGTAAGGAGGGACCAATCCTAAGAGAGGGACATCATGCTTGGGAGGGTGGAGGGACAGCAAAGACTCTTTTTGTTAATTAATTAATTTATTTATTTTTCATTTCAATGAACATCTACAGAGATTGTGGAATTCATTCATTGTTGCACTTTTCTCCCTACCCACTCACCCTCACCTCCACCCCCAGTTCGCTCCTCTCCTTGAAAAGCAAAAGAAAAACTCCTTCATTGGTACACTATCCCCCCACCCCCACCCCGCACATCCCCACTCCCACCCCAAGTATACTCCACTCTGCAACCCTCATTCCAGACTCTTATGATAATCTTAATGCCCTAAAATATATTACTTTTAAACTATTCTCTCCCTCATCGGCTTCAATGCAGTAAACCTAATTTATCCAGTTTTAACAAAGACTCTTGATGAAATGGATCGATTCCGTAACTGAGGTAATGGGAGCAGGTGTGTCAGAGACAGTGAGGTTGGCACAGGATAGAGCAGGGTTTACGGCTCTTGTACATAGGGTCTGTATGAGTCTCAAGCAAGTTGATGGCACATAACAACAACAATTCTAAAAAGGGCTGGAATCTTCCTCTAGGATGAAGATAAAAGAAGCCTGGAGGGAGAGTGAAGAAAGAGAGAAGGACAAATAATGGGAATGGGAGTTTGGAGTCATTTGTTGTTGTTAGGTGCCATCAAGTTGATAAAATTCATAGAGACCCTATGAACGAAAGATCTGAGCCCTGTTCTATCCTGTCTTATCCTCATAGTTCCTGACACACAAGAACCTGTTCCTGCAGTTACCACATCATTCCACCTGGTTGAGGGTCTTCCTCTCCTTCACCGACCCTCCACCCTTCCCAGCATCATGTCTTTCTCCAAGCAGTAGCACTTCCTAGCAAGAAGTCCAAAATATGTGCAGCAAAGCCTCATCATTCTTGCCTCCAAAAAGCACTCCAGCTGCACCCTCTCCAAGACATGTCTTTTTGTTTCTTGGCCATTCATGGGATGTTCAGTGCTCTTCTCCAACACCTTAGCTCAAAGGTATCCTTATTCCTTGTCCACCTTTCGGATATATAGCATGTTATGGGAAAGACTGTATGCACCTTAGTCCTCAAACTGACATCATTACCCCTCAATTATTTGGAACAGTTCCTAACTGCAGATATTCCCAGTTCAGTGTGTCTTCATATTTCCTAACTCCTGGTACCAAGGGTGTTAATTATGGATCCAAGCAAGATGAAGCTGTTGACAGTTTCAGTCTGCTATCCATCATGACACTGCCTATTGGTCCAGTGGTAAGAATCTGTTTTTTTTTACGTTGAGATGCAATTGATATCAAAGGCTGCATTCCTTGATCTTCTACAACAAATGCTTCAAATCCTCCTCACTTTTAGCAAGCAAAGTTGTATCATCTGCATAATTTAGGTTATTAGTAAGTTTCCTTCCAATCCTGATGCCACACTCATCTTTGTAGAGTCCATCTTTTCAGATAATTTGCTCAACATATAGATTGAATAGGTATGGAAAGAGAATACAACTCTGGCAACACTCCCTTCTCCCTTCCTATTTCAAATCATGTAGTGTTCTCCTGTTTTGTTCATAAAACAGCCTCCTGGTCCAGTATAGTTTCTTCATGAGCACAATTAAGTGCTCGGGGATGCCCATTCTTCTCAATGTCAGCCACGCAGTCAAAAGTCTTTGCATAGTCAGTAAAGCACAAATAGACTTCTTTTATTCCTTACTTTCAGCCAGGATCCATCTGACATGAGAAGTGATCTCCCTTGTGCCACAGTTTCTTCTAAATCCTGTTTGAACTTCTGGTAGTTCCCAATCTATGTACTGTTCTAGCCATTTTTAATGAACTTCAGTAATATTTTTCTGGAGTCACTAGTGCCTTTGAAATTCAGAATTATTGGTTAACATCTGAGCTCTTACCCATCATCGCACCACAGTTCAGCTAGTGTTATTTCCCAGTACTAGATATTAGGATGTGTCTGATCTGGCCCATGATCTGTGCAGTTACTTGCTCTGTATCACTCTGAGAGCTGGGCAGTGACTAAGGTTGACAGAATAAGGATTGTTGCTGTTGAGTTGTGGTGTTTGTGAAAAGTTTGAACACACCATGGACTGCCAAGAAAGAAAAAAAAAGTCAGTCCTGGAGAAGGTGAAGCCAAGTAGCTCTTTAGAGGCAAGGATTTTTTTTTTAAGTGCTAAAAAGCAAATATGTTACTTTTTATTTTTTTATTTTAATAATTTTTAAAAATAATTTTAATGAACATTTATAGAGATTTTGGATTTCCATTCATTCATTGCTGTACTCCTCTTCCCGCTCAGCCCTACCCCCCCATCCCAGTTTGCTCCTCTCTTTGAAAAGTAAAAGAAACACTCTCTCCCTGGTACACAATCCCCCCGCACCCCTCCCACCGCCACAAGTACATTTGGGCATGTTGGCAAGAGAGACCAGTCCTTCGAGAGAGGGACATCATGCTTGGAGGGGGTAGCACTTTAGGAGAGCAGGGCGCTTGGGTGGTGTAGGAGAGGAAGACCCTGAATTAGATGAATTGCCATAGCGACTGAAAAAATGTGGGGTAGATGTGTCAGAGACAATGAGATAAGCTCATGATGAGACAGAGATCTGAGCTATTGTGTATAGGGTCTCTATGATTTGTAGATGACACATAACAACAATGGAAAGTAGTGGAGCAAGAAATATTTTGGAAGCTGACTTCTTTTTTTTAAGCTGCTTCAAAACATATGGTAAAATCAATATCATGTTAACACAATTCATATTCTGCAGTTGATTTCACTATTTGCCAGGCTACAAATACCACCAAATATTCATTCCCTCAGACTGCATGTGAAATTATTCATTTGATCCTGTTAATGCTGCTTGAGAAAAAACCTTCAAATGTTACATTTTCTTCTCATTCCTTCTGTTTTCTTTCATTGCTGCATTTGTCTTTTAGATAATTTTATTATACTTTTCAACATTTATGTAATAAGATAGGTGCTTAGATTTAAAAAAATACCCTTCAAATGGAAGAATCTTTATTTATCCTATCCTAAAAAGAACTAAGTTAAATCAAGTGGTTCTACTAAAAGTAAAGGAAATGACAAATCAATTTATGAGATAATAATCTGAGATTTTGTTTCTTTTCATTTAAATGTTTTGTGTGGAAGTTTTTCCTCTTTTAAAGTTAAGTTTGTATAGATAAAGGTAAAAGACTCATTTTATAAGTTGAAAATTTCTCAAATTTAAAAATGCAGTGGTTTTATTCTGTTGCTATATTATAGTTTGGATGAAAGTTCACAAAATTAAATAGTTTGTCATGCAACAATATAAATATTTTATTTTGTATCTTTGATTATAGTTGGCTTGGTGTTAAGAACACTCTTTCCACCTTTTCATTGGATTCCTCATTTCCATTCTTCTTGTTACTCTTTTTAAATTTTTTTTATTTTATTATTATTTTGTGTGTCTGTGTACCATCAAATCAGATCTGACTGGTACAGGAGGAGATTGTCCCTCCTTTCCCGGCAGAGCATCTGGTGGATTCGAACCATTCACCTCTGGGATTGCAGTACAGCTTCTTGCCACTAGACCACCAGAGCTCCCCTTCTTCTTCTTCTTCTTTTTTTTTTTTAGTGGTTGCTTATACTGAATTGTGTATTATTTACTTAATTAATGTTTGGCTCAGAGTTGATCCATAAAGATATGATTACTTCCAGGTTTCACAAGAGTGGTATAGGAAGCATAATCTTAGGGGTCCTCAAGTCTGGGCTTTTGATGACTTTTGAATGTTATTAGACATATTTCCCCTAGCAATGTCCAGGAACTGTTGTTGTGATGCTAATCATAGTGGTCGGTAGACATAGTTGGGCACCACCAGAAGTTGTGACTCATTGGCTGTTTCATTCTTCTTTGAAGAAAGCAATTTTAAAATGTAACTTCTTTATCAGAATTTAATTAATATAACATGGAAAAATTTGGAATTCTACATTTCAAAGATGAGATACCATTATTTATAAATTGTATACTACTTAGAATGTTCTACTCCATATTCTCATTCATATAATGATGATATTTTGTTTCTTTTTTAGGTGATTCTAAGAAAAAGCTTGTATGTTCAGTGTGCAATAAAAAGTGTTCTTCAGCAGTAAGCCTACAAGAGCATAGAAAGGTCAGTTAAGAAAGATTAATGCTTACAATATACAAAGTATTTTAATTATTCCTAATGTCTGCTGTATCATCTTTTTTCTATATTATGACAGCTTTGTCAGTAATTGAAAGACTAACATATACTAGAATACAAGACTAATAGGAAAAAAGTATTACAAAAGAACACTTCCAATTGCTTATTTAGAGTTAAAAATACTTTTTAGTGGCATGTATCATGTCTAGATGAGTTCTTTCCCTGAAGCATCTGTGGTTTTTAGTTTTATCCATTAATTTTTGCACAAGAAATACAAATCCAAAGCAAAGAGAGTATACATTTTTGTGTGTGTTTTTATATCATGTGATATGATTTCTCACCCTTAGCCATTCAAAGGATGTATATTGTTGTTCTCTCACAACTAACATAGGAACTCCATTATTTTGAAGAACAAAAAAAATGTACATCAAAGTGTCATTAAGAAAGACAAATCGTACAGGAGAAAATAGGTAACATATTTTGTAATAGTATAAGATTTACCAAGAAATAGTATTGATATGAAAAGTTAATCTGCAAAAGAAATAAAATTATTAACGATAACATTAGGAACTAAATAGTAAAATTTATAATAAAATAGAACTGAAATAGAACTCTCATATCATTACTATCACAATTTCAAAACAATTATTGTATTGTTATAGCCAACACTTAAATGAATATGTCCTAATTTTTTACATCATATTTCAGATTATATCAGAGCATATTTATATTTGTTCCCATTCCAAAGAAAGGTGATCTCACAGAGTGTGGAAATTATCGAACAGTATCATTAAGATCACATGCAAGCAATATTTTGCTGAAGATTATCCAAAAAAGACTGGAACAGCACATCAACACAGAACTACCAAAAGTGCAGTCTGGGTGTAGTTGGGGCCAAGGTACTAGGGATATTGTAGCTAATGTTAGATGGATTGTGGCTGAAAGCAAGGAGTACCAGAAGAATGTCTGTCTTTGTTTCATTGATTATGCAAAAACATTTGACTGTGTGGATCATAACAAACTGCGGCTAACTCTGAGAAGAATGGGAATCCCCCAACACTTGTGCTGATGCGAAATCTATATATGGACCAGGAGGCAGTCTTCAGAACAGAGCAGGGAAATACTGCATGGTTAAAAATTGGCGAGGGTGTACGCCAGAGCTGTATCCTGTCTCTGTACGTTTTCAATCTTTATGCAGAACAGATGATTCTGGAGGCTGAGCTCTATGAGGATAAATGTGGTCTCAAGATTGGAGGAAGAATCATCAACAGTCTGCGTTATGCAGATAACAACCCTGCTTGCTGAAACTGAGGAGGACCTGAAGCACGTGCTGTGGAAGGTCAGGGACTGCAGTCTTCAGTATGGATTGAGACTCAATATCAAGAAAACAAAGATTCTTCACACTGGGCCAATTGGCAACATCTTAATGGATGGTGAAGAGATTGAGATTGTTCACAGTTTTGGTTTTCTTGGATCCATAGTCAACACTTTTGGCACCAGCAGCCAGGAAATTAAAAGACATATTGTGATGGGAAAGTCTGTGGTTAGAGACCTCTCTAAAGTGCTGAAGTGCAAAGATGTCTGTCTGCAGAATAAGGTGTGCCTGATACATAACTTGGTCTTTGCAATCACTTGCTATGCATCAGAGAGCTAGACAAAGACTAGGGATGATAGAAGGAGAATTGGTGTGTTAGAGCTGTGGTGTTGGAGAACAGTATATTGAATATGCCATGGACTGCTAGGAAAACAAACAGTTTTGTCCTGGAGAGGGTGAAGCCAGGCTGCTCCTTGGAGGCAAGGATTATGAAGCTTCTTCTGACATACATTGAACATGTTGCAAGGAGGGACCAGTCCTTGAAGAGGGATGTCTTGCTTGGGAGGGTGAAGGGACAATGTAGGAGAGGAAGACCCTCAATAAGATGGATTGATTGACTGGGGTAATGGGGATAGGTGTGTCAGAGATGGTGAGAGTGGCACAGGATAGGGAAAGGTTTAGGGCTGTTGTACATAGGGTCACTATGAGTCACTGGTGACTCCATGGTACGTAACAACAACAACAACAACAACAACACCAACACGTTTTTCATTTTTTATTACATATTTTTGTTTGTTTTCAAATACATTCATTCATGTAGATTTTGTTTTGAGTATGTATATTGTGTTTTCTACAATATTTAATTTATGTTGTATTTTATTCCTGTGTATTATGTTTTTATTTTCCCCTTGCAATCATCTTACTAATACCTATATTGATGAAAGCATATAAGCCATCTACTTCATCTATTATGCCTTAATATCCCCATTTTAGATAGCCAGTTTCTGATTTGGCCACCCCTATCACTGAGTACCCCATGGACTACCAAAAGAACAAACAGAAATGTCTTGAAGAAGGTGCAGCCAGAGTGTTCCTTGGAGGCAAGAATGGTGAAGCTTCATCTCACATACTTTGGGCATGTTACTGGGAGAGGCTATTTTTTAGAAAAGGATCTCATCCTTGGAACAGTGGTGGGATGACAAGGAAAAGGAAGTCCCTCAACCAGATGGATTGACACAGTGACTACAGCAATGGGTTAAGTGTGTCAGAGACTTGAAGATAGGACAGGATTCAGATCTGTTGTTCTTAGGATCTCTATGTGTTATACTCTCTACTCAATGGCACATAACAACAAAAACATAAAAAATACTCTGAGGGAACAAGAAATGTCTCTTTTTGCTGAATAATGTGTTCAGTTTGGAAACATGTCCAAGTTAAGCCATCAGGTTGCATCAGTTAACACTAGCTCACAGCATGGATCATTCTCTCTTAATATGGTTTAGTTCTGGTCAGCTCATCTCCAGCCATCTGTGGCTAGGCCCACAGATGTGGGTGTCAGCTGCAAACTCAGGAATCCACATTTATCCCTGCATTCCAGACTGGTTGGTCCTAGTATTCAGCTTTAGTGCCCATACGGGGCAGGGAGTCCTCAAGACAGCAACCCTTTTTCACTTATTCATATACCTGAGCATGCTGGACAGTGCTGACAGAACATGTCCTAGCTCAGCCTGTCTCTTGATTGTTGTATGCTTCCTACTTCCACTCCAGTGGACCCAGATTATTGCCATACTCTCCAGCTCCCTTTACCTTCAATTCTTGGAAGTAAACTCTTACGAGCCTCAACTTCACTCTACCTTAGAAGTCAATGTAGCTTGTTTCAATTTTAAAAATTCACTCTTATTTTTTGTTCTTTCTCTTCCTACTTGTCTTTCTTTCAAATGTGAGACATTTCAGTAAAAAGGCAAAGATGAGTCTTGCAAATGTCCATGCAAATGCAAATCTCCTCAGAGTAGTGGATGGGACGTTGACTAAGCCCTAGGCCAGACTAAGCCTGAGCACTCCCTACCAATTCTACTTTTGACGAACTTATCTCCATGGCAAATCTTCCCTTTTAGTACTTCCAATCAATTTCTGCCTATAGGTAAAAACCACTGGACTGATAGGCAACATCATTATGGATGGAGAAAAGATTGAAATTGTTAACAACTTCATCTTGGATCCACAATTATCACCTTTGGTTCGAGCAGTCAGGAAATATATTGCTCTGAAAAAGTCTGAAGTTAAGAATTTCACCAAATTATTATCAGTTTAAAGATAAAGGTGTATCTTATTAAGGTCCTGGTCTTTCCAGTCACTTGCTATGACTCTGAGAGCTGGACAATAAATGAGGATGACAGAAGAAGAATTGGTGCTTTTGAGCTGTTGAAGAGAAGTGCTGAACATCCCATGAACTACCAAAAAAAACAAAAAAAAATATATCTTGGAGAAGATGCAGCCAGAGTGCTCTTTGGAGGCAAAGATGATGAATGAGGCTTTGCCTCACCTACTTTGGGCATGTTGGTAGGAGGAGCCGTTCCTTGAAAAGGAACATAAGGATAACAAAGATATTGAAGAAGAGAAAGATCCTCAACCAGGAAGATTGACATGATGACTGTTGAAATGGACTAATGTGCCAGAAAGTGTGAGGATTGCACAGGGTAGGGCAGGGTTCAGATTTGTTGTTCTTAGGGTCACTGTGGATCGTACTTGACTTTATGGTACCTAACAACAACAACAACAACAATCAATTTTTGGCCAAAGCCTAAATTACATGCTTTCTAAATCTGTAATATGCAGGGTTTCTTTTCTTTCTCCTAACCCCCGCCTCCATGTTTTCATTTATTTGCTTGTAACCACCATACATACTATTCTTCCTCCATGCACATCATACCCCACATAGTCCTTACTACACCTTGTACGTCATACAATGAACGTTCACCTATCCATGACTATTATCACCCTGTCCCTCCAAGTTCCTCCTGAATCTGCCCCACTCCCTCTTCTACTCATTCTCTCTCCTCCCCACCAGTGTTGACAATCCCAGTGATCGTCTCATCTTCCTCTCCCCCTCATTGAATGTTTATACATATCTTGCTTCGTTATCCTCTTATTTTCAAGTGTTCTTATGAAGCATTTGTCCTTATGTAACTGAATTATTTCTGTCAGCATAATGCTATCCAGGCTCTCCCATGTCATGTGGTACTGTATAAAATCGTTTCTTAGTCCTGCATTTCCATTGTGTAAATGTACCAGAATTTCTCAATCAGTTCATTTGTTGATGGACATCTGCATTGTTTCTCTTTTCTTGCTATTTTGAATAATGCTCCTATTAACATAGATGCACATGTCCATTTGTGTTTCAGTTCTTCCTAGCAGTAGAATAGCTGGGCCATAAGGGATTTCTGAGTTCAGCTTTTTGAGGAAGCACCAAAATGCTTTCCATAATGATCGTGTTATTTTACAATCCCATTAGCATAAGAGTTCTAATTTCTCCATATCTTCTCCAGTATTTATTGTTTGCAGTGTTGTTAAAATTTGCTACTACTGTTGAGGTATTGTTGTTTTAATTTGTGTCATTCTAATTGCTAATGATTTTTAACATATCTTCATGTGTTTGTTAGCCATTCAAATATACACCTTTTTGAAGAGTCTTTTCTGCTTTTTTTTTCAATTCTGTTAATGTTTACTTTGCATATTTTCAGCTCTGTCATATGGTGCATATATATTATTATGGTTATGTCTTCTTGTTCTATTGACCCTTTAAGCATTATCTAGTGACCTTCCTTGTCCTTTGTGATGGCTTTTGTGTTGAAATCTATTTTACCAGAGATTAATATTGCTACTCCTGCCTTTTTCTGGATGTTATTTTCTTGGTATATTTTTTTCAACCCTTTCATTTTTTACTCTTTCTTTATCTTCACTATTCAGGGGTATTTCCTGTAGAGAGCTTATTGATATGTTTTGAATTTTTGTCCAATCTGCTACTCTTTTTCTCTTCAATGGTGCATTTAAACCCTTCACATTCAGTGTAATTGTTAAGAGGTAAGGTTTCACTGGTATTATTTTGTGAGTTCTTTTTGGCATTGTTGCTAGTTACTTTGGCCCATCCTACTTTCTGTGGCTTTTTTTTTTAAAAAGAAGGACTTCTCTCAGTAATTTTTGCAACTCTGGCCTTGTTTTTCCAAAGTCCCTTAGGTTCTGCTTTTCTGAGAATATCTTGATCGCTCCCTCATATTAGATGGCCAGTTTTGCTGGGTACAGTATTCTTTC